AACTTGGTTGCAAACCTAGCAGAACTTGGGATATCAGGAAGGACAGATGTCTTGAAACACAAGTGCAGTGTGAAAGCGTGGATATTGCATTTTACATACATCTGCTCCCTTGGGAATCCAGCTGGCTCCTGGGGTCGCTTGGGGAGGGCACTGGTGACGTGGAGATCCTGTAGATGATGGGCCACCTTTGGGACAGCCTTGCATTGGTCCTGAGCCAAAACTTCGGACAATGTGAGAGCACAGACCATCGAGGTGCCGTGCCCAGGGATGTTGGCTCCCTGGCACTGTTTTAGTGACTGGTGTAGGTGCAGCTGTAGTGCGTGGGCTCCGTGCGGTGACAGACTGGGACAGCACAGAGAGTAAGTCAAGCAGAGAGGACCCCAGTGTGTAACCACCAGGTTTAGGGGAACGCTAGGATGCTGAATATTTTTTGTTGGACTTCTGAGCCATGTGTTGGTTTTAAGATTCGTCCGCTTTGGTCTCATGTTCACCATGCAGTTTGGAGAAAAAGCAAGGGGCAATTTGCAGTTTGCTCCCCAGAGAGGCTGTTTCCAGTGGATTTGCTTTTTGGGGTGTGATTGCTCTCCTGGCTCCTCATATATTCCTGATACATTCCTTTTCAAATATAATCCAATAGGTGTATTCCTACATATGTTGCTATGGAAAATGAGTTCTATAGATAATATTTTAAGTACCAATAATAAAATTTGCAAAAGGAACATGATTTGTCTGAAGGAAAAACAATTCCTAACAAAATTCTCAGCTCAGTAAATACTTTTTTCTGGAATTGCTCTGATTTTGGAAAACAGCATAATCTAAATTAATTCATGAGTATAGTACCCTTAAATCAAGCTAGAAATAAAAACTATTAATAAAAAAATTAATTGATTGCAACTGGGTAAAATGTTAGTATTTCTTCAGGATCCAGTAATGGAAGAAATTTAGAAAAGAACGTAACAGCCCATAGCAGAAAATTATGCAAGAGTAGCAATAAGTAGCATACTAGTGCAACAACAACTCACTGCAAAATAACAGAATGTCAAGTGATGAAACAAGTATTCCTGATTAACTGGGCAGGTTGCTAACTAGATTGTTAATTAGTGCATCCTTACATTTAGACACCCATTCATGCAAGATTTTTCACAGCATTCTTCACTGCATAATCCTACTGAAGCTGTGAAAAGCAACAGGTGTTGAGTTTGGGTATGGTTGGCATATTAATTAGACCTGAGAAAAAAAATTAAAAAACACACGGTTGTTAAGTGTTTCAGTCCAACTAAACTCCAGTAGTCGGGCTGAAGCTGTGTGTAAGGGTAATTTGTCACCAAATTAAAAATCCGTATGGCAGCAGAAACTACTTTTTCTAAGTCGTCATGGTCTTTTTTTAAAAAAATGAAGAAGCCCATTAACATTTTTTTTGGGCACTGGCTGAAAAAGGCTAGCAAACACTTTAATAGTGGTGCTGTTATAGATCACGGTATTTATACTGAAATACTTGGGTATCTGAGATGCTTGGCAGTGAGTGGATCTCATTAGAACAGGCTTCAGCCTCCTGCACAGCAAATACCTTGCTATAAACATTCCTGGCAGTATGGAAAGGAGCAGAAAAAGGGATGGGATAGAAAAGATAGCTTTTCTTTTTTCTTTCTTTCTTTTTTTTTTTTTAATGTAATTTAAGTTGGCAGTAAGGTATACTTATACATAGCATCCCAACTTAAGTACTGAAAAAAACTCCTGCAAATACTGAGGGCAGAAGGTAGGTATGTTTGGCCTGATCTTAAATGCTATGGGATAAACAGTGTAGAATGCAGAATACAAGAATTGTAAGTCTTCTCAGTGGTTAGTGAGTCATGAAACCTCTGCTGTGTGTCACCCACAGAGTTTGGAATCTCGCACAGAAAACGAGAATTTAAACAGAGCAGCTTTTAAAAATGGGATAAAAATGAAAGTGCCAGGGGTAGGAATGCAGAAGTAGGGGAACAGTTCGAAAGAATGAAAAGAGAAAGGAACGAGGAAGCAGAAAAGCAAAGGACAGAGCACCATGGCCAGAGGATCAAGGGAAAGAGGAATAATTACAGGGAACAGGAAGTAATTGAGAAAACAAGTAGAGGAGTACAGGGAATGTCTCAGGCAGTGAAAGGAGGCAATGACAACAAAAAAAAATAAAGACGTTTTTGGATCAATACAGAAGAAACTGGGCTTACCTGGAAGGCATGTGACGGTGTCGTCCAGGGCAGGAGAACACAATGGAAGCTGAGATGTGGGAGAGGGGAAGGGAGCTTGGCAGAGTGTCCCTTCTGTCAACAAAAAAAGGGGACGGGAGCCCTGGGTTCTGTGTCTGTGTTTTGTGTACATTTTCCACCTGAAGCGCAACGCACATGCAAGTGAAGGAGCAAGCAGCTTTTCCTGCTAAGAACTTGAAAATCAGGAATTGGGCCAAAAAAAGAATTAAAGGGCAGGGGGAAAAAATCCAGTGCTTACTTCTCTTTTGTTTGTCTGTCTCATGATGCTTGAGCTGTAGGATTTGGCAATATTACTGAAGAAATGCAAATCGTATAATGTTTCTTAAAACCATTGGTATCCACCTAATTCACATTTCATTCACTTTTGTGTGGACATTTTGCATGTTTCCTTTCTGTCTAACAGTGAACGTTTTATGTTTAAATGGTATTTAGATGTCTGTGTTGTTAAGAAAGAAAATAAACATACAGTTTCCCCCCAGTTTCTTTTCAACAAAGTGCACAATATAAAATGCCCTGAGCAAGGAACTCTATACATTTAATAACAGTTAATTCCCTCTCCCAAAGTGCTTTAGAAGGAGGCAAATAGAGATAATTTGAGAATTCTACATATGTTCAGGAGCCAGGTAGCTGGTAAAACACAGAGAAGAAAGGCTTTGTGAGATCATTGTAATTTTGCTCCACCCAGGCAAAGAAGAGGACCTGAGGCTACCACGCTGTGACTCTGCACAAGGCTGGGACATGTGGTGGTGGCATTCTGCAGTACCACGGTGAGCCCGAGTGTCACCAAGATGTCCTCCAGCTGGTTGGGGTGCTGGAAACTGCTTAGGATGACCCTTCAGCTGCTCTACTGCCTTGTTTCCTAGCCAGGCTAAGTAGTCGAGGTGGAGGACTGGGAGGGTCACACTGCTGTCCTGGGTGAACGGCTTCTGATCAACAAGTTAATTATTTCAGATCAGGCTTGGGTGTCTCAGCCTGGCGTATCCCCAGACCACCTACACGCAAGGGTTTAATTCTGGCAAAAGCCGTAGACTTGACTCAAAACTCTGCCAACAAACTTGCTGCCGACATGGGAGTTGGGAGACAACAAATGATGTAAGTGGAGATAATAATGTAGACCATTCAATTCTAGAATTTGTCCCCAGTTTTTATTAAGTTTTGGGATATAATTTAAACTATTATTCAAATTAAATTGTGATCAGTATTCCCTATCTGCTCCCTTTTCATTACTGAAAACTTGGTGTATTTGAAATACACATTTTGGATGCTAATACTTTTTATACACAAGGTGTTTTCTTTCTTCTCTTTGTGTCTAACCACAAGTGGAGGCAGAGAAGAGGAAGAGAAAATAGTTAGTCCTAACCTAGGAAAGTACTAAAAATATAATTAATCTAGCTCTAGCAGTTAGGCTTTATATCTAGGATTAATGGATATGTGCCACATATTGTCCTCTGTTCGTGCTGTCCTTTCATACATTAAAAATGGGGATAAAATATTTTCCTGTCTTGCAAGATAAACTCATTATTATTCATGGGAATCTGAGATATCATTGTGATGAATGCTGTGGGAAACTAATAATTCTGTGTGCAGCAGAGGCTTGGGAAGATTTGCACTAAATAAAGGAGTGGCCAGAAACTGAATGAGCAGGGCTGAACAACTGCCTTTTCTGTTAACTCTTGTCCAGCCCATGCACTAAATGAGGCAGGGATCCTGTGGAAAAAAATACTGAGCCATCACGTAATTACAGACTGTGCACACAGCTAAAGATGCATCCACACAAGGAGGCAGAGCTGAGGCTGTGCAGCTACGAACTCATTTCTTGGAACCTCCGCGCTCCTGGAGCTGCGTTGCAGAAGTCATAAGGGTGTCCTTTTACAGGTTCGTTAGTTTCCTCAGAGGATTTTCTTATTTGGCACAAAATACATCCACAGAAATGCTTGCACCTGTATCTGTCACAAAGTAATGTCGTGGTGAGGGGCCACCTAATTCACACAGCAAATCCAGGTTCCTCCACCGGTCCCCACAGCTGGAGATTATGCAACAAGGTCGCACATAGAGGGGGGTTTTGTTAACACCGTGGGAGGAGCAGCCAAGGGATCTGCAATTATGTGGATGGAGAATATAAACCTTTTAGGCAGGAATGCACAGGAGATCAGCTGCATTCCTGCAGCCCGGAGCCTGCAGTAACGGCAGAAAAATGCTCTAAAGCCACTGAATTAGAGAAGTCCTTTGTGCCCTGCCTCCCAGTCCTGGTTTTGCTTAGCCTGTTTACTGGGACAGGGCAGAGGTACAACACAGATGGAAACCAGCTCTATTTACCTTAACCGGGGCGTTCATGCTGAAGTCTAATTTTTATGTCAATATTTTGATGTTTGCAGTGCCGAATGTTTTAGCAGGCACAGCCAAATACTCCAGGATTATAGACTGAGTTTGGAGAGGGAAAAGAGAGAACAGCTTTCCTTTTCTTTCTTTATGACTTTTAAAAGATAATAGAATAAATTACAGATCAGAACCCCTTAAAAGGCAGTCTTTATTAAGCTGCCTAAGTATAGATTTTCCTGTCTGGAAAATTTTCTGCTTACATTTCACTTTCTGGATAGTAATTACTGACAAATGCCACATTGTAGTTGTGCTGCCTTTGCAGCAATAATAAAATGGATTTTCACTGTCAGCTGCTCAGCAATAATTTTCAGAAGTTATTGTACAGCTACTGTTGCTCTACTTTGGCAGAAGATGGTATACCCACATTTCTTGCCAGAAAGCACACTTTTATTCAGAAAAAAAGAAAAAAAATGCATCCAGTGAATAGCATCGGCAAAAAAAATACACAATACCAGTAATTTTTCGGTGTGTAGTACCTTATAAATACATTTCAATATCCTGTAACAATCACATTATATTTGATCTGTGCAAACAACGCACAGTTTAGCTTAAAGTATCGTATCATTATTTGTTTTGATGATTTAATGTATCATAAGATCAATTCAGTCAGTATAATAAGTAAGGAAATACAGCACCTACAACACATCAAGGCTAAGAACATGGAAAAGCTCTTCAAATATATGACTGAAAAATCTCACAAAGAATAAAATTCACTTGTTTTTCAGGGGCGAAAAAGAGGTTTGTATTCTACCAAAGTCCTTTAAGAGAAGATAAACTATATTGAAATGGAAGGTTCCTTTGTTGGTCATACGGCAACACATGAAGTTCTGCTGTTGTTTCAAGTAAAAACAAGCCTGGGCATATATGTCAGAATTTAACATAAACTCTTTTTCACATAATTAACTGTGTAAAGCATAAAACTATATGCCCTCTTTTTAGCTGACAAGTCATTGTGTATTTCTAAATATCTATGTTCCCTCTCAGTTCTTTGGCATATCGATAACTTGATGCAGGTATCCTCCTGAATGCCCCTGAAAAATAAATAAACCATCAGCAGTGATGTTGCCAAATAGCCAGACACATTTATTGTGCTTAATATGCAAGGTCATGGTTCAAATTTCTGTGCTGGTGCTGATGTCTACACATAAAATTGGTATTTGTATGCCTGGATGCTGGTTGAAAAGCAAATATAGAGCAGGAAACTCAAGTTTGCATATAACTTTTCAGTGTATTATCAGTGATTTTAAATACAGTATAAAATAGCTTATAGGCTATTATCTCTACAGTTAATTTTATGTTTCATATCCCCATAGCATTGTACCTCCTTAGAGATTTACTGTATTTTGAACTATCAATAAAAGGCACGCGTGTAAGATCAAATCTCAGCTCCACTGAAGACAACATCAAAACTCACTGACTTCAACAGAGCCAATTTTTTTTATGTTTGTAAGCCGAACTTGCTAGCTTGCGATATTGCCCCGGTTTGTACAGTGTACCTCACTTCCCTTGGGGACTGTAGGAGACTTGATTATCAAGAGGAGTTGGTTACACTGATCCAGCCACATGGCTTGTTACAGGTTTTTGATTATCTTGCACGACAGCAAAAGCATCACGTTACAAATAGATGTTCCATACTCTGCATGTGCTCACCCTCTTTACTGGGAGCTTACTTTTGATTTCCAGTGAGTTTTGATATATAAGTGCAAAGTGATATTTATTATTTTGATTCATCCATTCATTTTACTACTTTCTTATTCAGAGAACAGGATGATCTTTAGGACTAAATGTTGTTTCTTCAGTGGATAAGCATGGAAATGTTTACTTTCTGTACTCTCATTTAGCCAAGTCTAGTGTAAAATATAGTACTTAAAAGAAAAAGATACTATCAAAATGGTGTGATATCTATACATATGTATTTAGTCTAGAAGTTATTTTCAGCCAGTTTTTCATCAGTTTATACGTCCATTTTAATGCCTAAATTACTACAGTGGCAACAAGAATATATCTCCAAGGTAAACAGAAATCAAATCTTAACCTAAATGTTCTGAATATATTTTGAGCAACACTACGCTATAAAGTAGACTTTTCTACGGTTTATATCTCAGTGATGTATGCAACACATATAACATTGCTACTTTTACTATTAATATTTGTCAAAAAGTACTTGAAAAAAGGATGAATAAATTTTAGAGAATGGTATTCTATCATTAGTACAACACAGAAAAAGAAACTTCAGCAGTAATGGCATGTGGCTGTACATGTCAGTGTAGCTAACGCTATTGCAGTTGGAATGGTGGGTCAGCAATGGCATTGTCTTCTCTGATGCCCACTTTTGATTTCCTGTTTTCACAACAGGATATTATCACCAAAGGAAGCATTTCTTTTCAGGATACTGTCCTCCCCAGAGTGGCAGTCCCTGGTGTTTAATAGACCAGAACCAGAGTAAAACTGTTCCCAGGGTTTGTTGCCCTCTGTATCCTTTACAGACCTGAACTTGCTTCTTTGGGTATAGCTAATTGATGAACAATTTATACATGGACTGTCACAAACGTGGAAAGGAAGTGGAAAACGATAACCTTAACTTTAGCTCATATTCCCTGAATTTTAATTTCTCATATAAATGCCATTATGAATGTTATACAAAGCAAGGGACAAGGAAGCCCTGAAATCCTAAAAAAGATTAATTGTACATCTAGAAGAGTGTAACCGATTAACTTGTGATCAGCTTTAGTGACTTCTCTTGCTTTCACAATTAGGAAGTTGGAAATAGATTTTGATCTTTAATGAAACTTGTATGGAATTCTCCATCAGTCGTTATCATAGATGCAATCTGTAATGGAAATATAATGCAAAAATATTAGTATTGTTTTATACTCAAGGATAAAGTTATTTGATGTACTTCGATCTAATTACTGTATTGTTTGAAATGTTTAACATACCGTCACCAATATCATCGTAAATCTCTCCATCACTGTAAGTTAAAGCAAGAAAAATAACATATTTAAAAATTGAGACATCAGATATATATTACTATTTACATGTATATACAAAATAGTTCAATTGCTAATTAGGAAAGTGCAGCGTTTGTTGTAACAGAACAGTATTGAAGATGGTCAAAGGATTTTCAGTGAAGGGTAGAGCTGGATACATTTCTTCCTAACGTGAAAGACTTGCTTTATGAAGAGGTTGGATTTTTTAATTAAGTTTTTAAGTAGCTATTCTAACAAACTTATAGAGATATTACCATAAAAAATGAAATACTGATTTTTTTAAATGAATACTGGAAAAGATGATTAGAAAAAATCAGTATGCCTTTGAAATTCTTCCTTCTTTCTGTAATTCAGAACGCTGTAATGGTTTCAGAGGGGCAGCGTTTTAGATAATGAATTTAGGTAATGTCTATAAGAATGAATATTCCATGAATAAGAATTTTCAAAATATGTCATGTAGATACACAAACACGCCTATGGAAGCCAATAAGACTATTTATATATATAAGTTACATGTGTGTATAAGTGTTTGCAGGCTTCAATTCTAAAAGTAACATATGATTTGATATTTAGAGTCTGACATAAAGCCCATTGAAGGAAGTGGAAAGGCTTTGTCTGACGAGAATTTTGGATTAGAACGTAAATGCTGAGCTCCAAGCAACTATTTGGAGCACACTGAGCCAAATCTATTCAATCGCAATAAGACTGAAATAAAAATAAACCTAAAAAAAAATTGGTCCATTTTAGTTAAACATTTGAAAATGGCATCAATACACTTAATCACACTAATATGCACTTCAGTAATAGATTCTAGTACCAATAATGCTTAATTTATGTAATTTTTCATGGTTTAAACCAGAGTTCATGGTTAAGTAATGACGAATGGGGCCCTGGAAAATTTCCAGCGTGGCTGTATGAGACTAATTTTTGAGAAATCTAAACTCCATAAAAAGGACTAGAATGACATTCTAAAATAATTACGTTTTCACTTTTATTTAACGGACAGTTTAGAACAAAACTGAGTGTTATAGCAAATTTTTCAAAAAAGATCACTTTGTACTTACTTCTGAACTAAGTTGCTTCTCTGAACATAGCCATCTGTAAAATTGAAATATATATGTATTTAAGTTAAATTTAAATATTCCTGTTATTTCTTCTGTTGCTAGTACTAGTGATATGCATTTTTTCTCTTTTATATATTTCAGACAGAAAGACACAATAGATGGATAACAATTTACAATAGATATGTACTCAAGGAAAAACTTTGCTTTTAACATTTTAAAAAATTTTAGTTTTAATTATTCCTGTCTGCTTGTTTAGTACAATGTGGTGCCTCAGATAGGTAATCAGAATACTACAGTAGCTCCAAGACCAGTTAGATAGCTACTGTGCCAGGTACTTTACATACTCATAAAATGCCATTTCTCTTGTTTCATTGCAATAATTTCCATTGTGTACAGAACTACTGCTGAAAGGAGGAAATGGTAATACAGGTTATACAAGATTAGGCTTTCATCTTATATTTTAGTTTCCTGGTTGCACGAGAGGGGTGTAAAACAATAGGTATTGACATAAAATATTGCAGAGTTCACAAACTATCACAAAAGTGTGGTACAGTGATAAGCACATAATAATATTTAGAATAATAAATAACAGAAATATGTATAGTTTCCTACAAAGACAAAAATGTTTTTCAAGATGAATACACCAATTAATTACCATTAGCTCTAATTGTTTAAAAAAATTTAACTGTATAATATTGATAAGAACTGTTTTCATATATAAAGGAAATACCTTAGAAAAGCTACTCACTAGAGAATTATTCTATTACTCTGTCACATTACTAATGCAATCAGATAAAACTATGTGTATTCTTCTTCAATCGGTTACATGTCTTGGAAAGATTGAATATCTTCGGTAAAAGACATCTACCGTAATACTTGTCAATTAGTGTATATACGAGCAAGGAGAAATTCATAACAATACTTACATATTTGTAGGTAAACATTAGTATGTTGGTACAAAATTAGGACAGTTCTAAAGGAGAAATGTGATTTTGTGCTGTATTTGAAATTACTAAGTTTCCTTTATTTTATTCATTAGGAGGCTTAAATAGTCACACTAAAATGATGGGGTTTAGAATAAATATATTAACTTGAGTTGTAAAGTTCCTTCAATTCTTGGAGCTCCATGTACTTAGGGTAACCATTACATAGTAAAGAAAGTATCTGTTTTCTGCCAGTATTTCTGGTGGTGATCCTTCAGGTCAGTCTAGATGAATCCCCAGATCTTACTGTTTTGCCTTGGAGTTATTTCCTCCAATAGTAAGAAGGAATTTGAGAAGGTAATGAGAACCAGTTCCTCCTTCCACTTTTGAAATTTCAAATCATTTAATAACAATTAAAGTAAGTGATAGCAGAGTATATTCCTAAAATCACCAGCCCTTATTCAAAAAGGTGGAAAGACTTTATAATATAATTTGTAATTTCATTTAACTGCTGGTAGAGCCATACAGCTATGGAAGTGCTTCATAAGTTAACAATCAAATGGAAGAATTCATGTACAAGAAATTAACAAAAACATCTTTAATTGTTGATTTTCAGTCTATCTGGCCTTCAGAAGTTAAAATCATAGCTTCAAGATACGAGCAACTAGAGCAACGAGAGCAAATAAACAAACCTGTCATGCACTTAACTAAAGTAGGATTCAAACTGCACTAATTACGGTGAAAATTGACAGAGACCTATTCGCAGCTTTTCAGGGAGAATATTTTTATTTGTTTTGCTCTTTTATGCATAGCAAAGCAGTGGCTCCTGTCACCATTTGAAAGGCTTTGAAGACTATGTGAGGAAAACAACCGGCATGAACTACTTTCTTCTTTATTATTAGCTTGGTCCGCAAAGGGCGGCCTTGAAAGCTGCTCTTTGGAAAGTGTCTACATGAGTGCAATCCATATTTTGAAAAACATATGTGTTGTTATGCAAGAAATTCTTCCTCACCCTGCAGGCCTGCCAGGAAGAAGGCTACACTCCATACTGTAACAGATTAGTACAGAGGGGAAAAAAAGATACAAGGAAAGATACTGAATCCCCTTCAGAGTCTTATGGCATTGCACAGTCTTCTACACAGGTCAGAGGTAAAAAGTTAAAGTGAGCAGAAGGATGCTGCTACTTTCAAAAGTAGTCTTTTCCTACATAAAGTGAATTTTCATTAGGAGATTTGAGAAGTATTTTAATAGAAGCACGTTAAGAAATCGAAACCAAAAGTAGACTGTCCAGACTTCTCCAAAAATGCAGAAGCTTCTGCCAATGCACGTCCTGGCCAAGGGTTTCAGAGAAGCATGGAAAGTCCTCACGCAGCTCCCAAAACAAGCAGTCATGCCAACAAGGACATATGCCTTGGATCAGCTGGGAGCTGGGGGGAAGAATCCTAAGCAGTTTCTGCCCCAGCCTGTTGAAAGGGTTAAACTCCATCTCTGGCAATCCATAGTAAGGATATTGTTATTGATTTTCCCTTGGCTGCAATCAATGGGCAAGTGCTTCCCAGAGATGCAGCAAAGATTTCACTTTTACTAGATTCTGTAGGGTATTACAACTATACACTTTTTGGCAAATAGAGGGAGACACAAACAACAAAAACATCTGCTAATATTAATTGATGCAAAGCAAGATTTACATAACTATGATGTTAGTTTCTCACATTTACTTTCTCACATTTGATATCTCTTGTGTATTGGAGTTCTATTCTTTTTTAAGGCAAGCTGCTCTTAAAACACAGTAACAATAATGGTCTACCTCTTGTCAACCACCAGGCAAGGAAAAAGATGAGTATTAGGCTCTGCCTAATATGAAAGGGAAGAGGGTTTTTTACATGTCCTGACTCAATCATTCTCTGATAATTTGGTTTATACTGCAGCTTTTTAATAAAACTTACATTTTCCTTCTTCATTCCTGCACAGGACCTTGGTATCATCTGTGCTTTCTATAATTTCAAGTGACTCCCCTGGTTTAACTTGTAAGTCTTTAGGTCCCCATCTTTTCTGGGGCAAATCCTGGACTGTGGTAGTAGAGTAAAGAACTTTAATTTCACCTTCAAACTGCAAAAATAAAATAAAGATATACTGGTTAAAACCCATCAATATAAGGCCTACGAACAAGCAGGTTTTAGACCAACATATTCCCCTTTATTACTACATTTTTGAAAATTAGGCAAATAATTGTTTATGCTATGTGCCCATGCTTGCCATTTGGGCTTACAAATGCTCAAATCACAGTATTTTTACAAGTAGTAAAAATACTTTCAAAGTATTAAAAATACCTTTCAAAGGCAAAATAAAGTATCATTTATAAATTAGGGAATACAAATTAGAGGACACCATACAGATATTTTAATCTTTATATTTTATACAAACAAAACTTACTTTGAACTTTTTTCTGAACTCTTTCTCTTCTTTTTCCATCTTTTTAAGCTTTTGTGTATCTTTTTCATCTGGTTTATGTTTTCCAAGGCTTGCTGATTTTGATGAACTAAAACAAGAGGTTACAGATGAAAACAAAATTAGCAACACATTTGAGGTATTGCCAACTTTACAGATAATTTTAGTGAAAATGCATTTGGCTTCATATGTATTTACTATGTTTTTGTTTCTCTACAAAACTAATATGGATAATACAATACAGATTTGATTTCAAAAGAAAAAAAAATTGGGGTTGTCTTTCCTACATTTCTCTTCTAATGAATTCTAATGTTAATATATCTATCACATAAATGAATATGGAAAATTATTTGAAGTATCTAGCGGCTAAAGCAATGAGAACCAAAAATAATTTAGGTAAATGATACCCATCACTTTAGAATCTCTAGGCAAGGAGCAATTTTCATGAAGCCTATGTATCTTTGGGCAGTAAGCTGAATAGCATGTGTCCCACTGTGGAAGCAGCTAGAACATCTTAGCCTTTTGTACAGTAGCTGTGTTAGTCCTGTGTTCCCATAGAAGACCTTGCCACACCAAGTAATCTGCATTACATGACCCATTTCAAGTTCTGTTGTTTTTTCCACATCCCTGATACTGTTGGCTTAGGCCAATAAATGTGGAAAGCTTTCATGCCTTATCTGCCCTTCCTGATGCTGTAAAGTCTGACTCTACATTCTGATCATTCCTGATCTTTGTAGGAGTTGTGGATCACAGTTTCACTGATGATGAATGTGTGTGTGTGTATGTGAACTAACCTAGATTTGGGTTAGGACAGCTATGTCTTTGCCTTTGGATATACAGTTCAAAGTGCTCTCTCTGATTTAATGCCTCCAGACTAGAATATTGTAGTGCACTCTGTAGCTCCACCTGAGTGGAGTTAGTGACAACAGAATGTGACATGTTGCAATCATCTTCACAGATGCATCTGTGCTCATAACACAACTGTGCTCCAGAGGTGCCCGTAACTTCCTGGTACAGGGATAAAAGTTCTCCAAGTTGAACTTCATACCTCCAGATGTATTACATGCTTATAACACAGAGCACTATCTCCTTCTCTCTTAAAATATTACAGCAGCTGGGATCAAGTACTTATCCTAACAGTCCCAAAATTTTAATAAGACGAGGATTGCATGCAGCAAATCTGCAATGAAGTACCTTTAGGCCATGCATTAATTTCTACCTCTTGTCCATGAGGGACTAGATTTGTTGAAATTCAAAGCATGCTTATTTATTCTATAATCTAATTATTATTTCAATAATAAAACCAGAGGCAGGGAGCATTCAACTGCCATTTTCAACAATAGGGCTAGGAGAACTGCAAAACCTAACACCACCAAATAATGCATACATTAGTAGCAATATGCCTCTAGTAAATAGTTTGCAAATGTTTCACAATGTATTACAGATTTCTAATTAGGGGAGTAATTCCTATTTTCACTTGCTTGACTTCAGGCGGTGGAGGAGGGAAGTCTGAAGAATCTACGTCATCATAAACATCATTGTCTCCACAATCTGAAACAATAGTGTTCAAAAGAATGGAAAATTATTATGCAGTCCTTGAGTAGTGAATACATTGTGTTACAATCTATGGTAGTGCAGCTAAATCTCAAGGAATGGCAGCAAGTACGGTAGTAATTTATTGTCTATAGTAAGTGTGCACAACGTACTGTGCAAAACAAACACCAGCCAACGTTTTCAGAATAAGACTCTGTATTAATAATAATAGGTATTCACTGATATTTTAATCTTCTTAAACTGAAGCAGGTTTTAGCACATGTTGGCTAATGCAGTAGCCTTTAATCTTCATTTTAATTAGACCATTTCCCACTGCGTTGCATCAAAGCGTATTTTTGGAGTTCAATGTTAATGTATGCTCAAGTACTTCTGTAGCACTCTGGTCAATGCAGCATTGCTTGGAAGTGGATATGAATCACATGTATGTTAGTTTCTAGGCCATCTTGCAATGCCAAAGCAGTGAAAAGAATTCTTACCCCAAAAATATACTTTGAATCACATTCAGCATATTTGTAGAGAGGAAGTAATGGTTCAACTCATGAAATCAATGGATAGAAAAATCACAATAGGATATGAAATGTTTAGAACTCAGTTCTGGCACCAGCCTCAAAAATTATAAGAACTTGCTTTTTATTCCATGGCTGAGATGATATTTATGAGTATGTGTTCTTACAAAAACATTGCAAATGATAAAAATAACATCAAACATCTCTTTTAATGTTTGAAGTCTTGCATTAAGTGTTTCTTTGCAAGTGTATCTGTTCATACTTAATGCCAAATAAAATGAACTAGTGGAAATTTCACATAGAAAAATAATGACTTCTTTTAAAATACATTGAATTTTTTTCTAGAGAGCTTGCAATGTGTTTGTTTCTCCTTGTCTGTAGCCAAATTAGTGACAATATTTGAAGTCTGTTTGCTAGAACTGGGTAAGCAATGGGAAATCCTGTTTCCTTCCTTGGATGTATTTTTGTGACTAGCGTGATACAGAGTAATGTATACAGAAAAAAGATCAGGAATCAATACGGAGGCTGAACAATAGGCTATTAATTACCTTTTCCAAACTGCTTTGTTGAAGGAGGCATGCTAAAAAAAAAAAAAAAAAAAAAAAACTCATTAAGTATTTATATCACATTAATTCTCTTTTGCATCATTTAAATAATTAAAAAAAATTGCAACACGAGGTCTCCAGGTAATCTCCAGATATTTACCAAACTGTGTTGTTGAAAGAGGCATTCAAAAAAAAAAAAAAAAGAAAAAAAGCTCATTAAGTATTTATATCACATTAATTGTCTTTTGCATCATTTAAATAATTAAAAAAAATTGCAACACGAGGTCTCCAGGTAATCTCCAGATATTTGGAAGTTCCACTGGTACCAGCAATATTCATTGACTAAATGTATTTGTGCCACTGAATCAAAGTAAGCTGGTTTAGAACTGAATGAAAGAAGATGGTAGTAAAAACACCAGTTGCTGATATAACCTTTAGACAAGATGGGTAGAGGACAATCCTTGCATTTTCTATTTGGCATGTTATTCCTGAAATTTGGGTTAATGAGATTAGATTTACCAGTTTATCTCAGCTACATGGTACTGATGAGCAAAGTACATTTTATCTGAGGATATATCAAACTTACATCACTAGGGTGGCACAAAGATGATGGATTATTTTGGGGTTATTCATTAAAAAAAAAAATTTGGTGTATTTTAATTACCGGACTTCTGCAACAAATACAGCTTGTTAAGAGAGTAATTATCATTTGCAGATGAAAAGAAAGGAGGTCAGTGTTTTTGCACAAAAGTACCATTCTGAACTGCAATTTGATGCACAATTCATTAGACTGCTGTGAGAACATGTTAGTAGCATGTGATCGATGCTTTGTTAGAATTAGTTAATGTGCACTGGGATTTCCTAGCAGAATCTTACAACAAATGTCCATTATCTTCTGCCCCATTGACTTTGGTTGTTTTTTCTCGTACACTTTTCTTTTTGCCATCTTTGACCTTTAACCTCTTCAAGATTCCCCAGGACCAGATACCATTCTTATCTTCATCCTGCGATACAGACCTTTGGAGTATGCATGCAATTATCACAATGTAAAATGTAACATTCTTTTCAAAAGGTCCAGTTTAAATTCTCCATTGATGCACGATTCTCATTAGTGACAACAATGTGTATATCACAGGGGTGAGGACACTTACCTAAAAGCTAAACACTAAAATGCTAAAGTAGAAATATGTATGCTAGGTCATTTGTAGATATTGAGATATATTTGTAGGTATAGAAATTAATCTAGTGCCTTACTGTTTTCATGGTGTTACTCAGCAAGCTAACATTTTAATTTGTTGTTCTCATTTCAGAGCTAGTCTGTCTAGTTGGGGATTTGGGGATTTTCATGACTGTAGCTGATTTTGCTGACATACCAAAATTAATTACAGGAGAAAAGTTCTCCAAAAAACCAAAGAACTCTTTTTCTTAGCTTCATTAATCGACCCTGAAATGTACCCACTTGCTGATCATCCTAATACTTGCTAATTATTACACCTAATTCAAAGATACTAAAAACTGAAATGAAAACACTTTGTTAAAGAAACAAATTATTTAAATGATATAAAAAACTTACTTAGTTACGTCATCTTCATCATCAATCCCATCATAAATTTCTTGATCAGAAGGAGGAGGTGGGAACATCTCTTTAACAGATCAAACAGTGAATTAATGCATTTATATTTAATGCTGCTGAATAGGATATTAATTACTGGCCTTTTAAGTATGTCAGATGTGTGTGCAGGTTGTGCAATATCCTTGCAAATGGAATCTTACTGTAAACTGGCACAGCTTATTTATTAAAGTGGTGATTTAGACTTATCTCAGTTTGGAATACCATCCACAGCATTTGAGCACTGCCAATCACAAGAGCATGACTACTGTAAACAAATGCATTTATGCTGAATTCAATACAATTTTAAAGGGCTCATTTTAACCCAGTCATTATGATGGCTGATAACTTTTCGATTTTTGTGTGTGACTCGAGTGATGTTTGAAGGTGTCAGACCAACACTCAGCAAGTGACATCTTGTGTTCATCCACAGGAGTCAGAGGCAATGCAAGGTAAGCTTCCCGTTTTGGTCTCAGTTCTGACCTTTGAGCCCCACCTCCCTCAGTGCAGGCTTGGCTCAGTTTGCATGTCCTATTCTAGCCACTGGTCAGAGTGATCAGTGAAATCTGCACTTAGCTGGCAGCAGCTTCACGCAGGACTGCCAGGGGATGCTTCAGCTGTGACTGGTATCTAAACTCTAAGCCGAGAAGATGAGCTGTGCTCTTGTGATCAACAGAGAATGCTACGTAAATATATGTGCTACCAAAGAGGAAACTGGGTTTGAATGTGTGTTCCTGACAGTGCTGCAGTCATACTGGTTGGGACTCCAAAAATTGCTGAACCTGAAGATCCCTTTAACTCTGTCAGCAAAATGCAGCCTTAATAGGTAGTATTACTGGCTGTTTCAGAACTGGCTATTTCCTGTCCAAAACCTCTTGGTCATTTTGCCAGATATATCTGTGCTGTTTTGTGGGATGATCTACCTTCTCACACACACACACAAATATGAATTTTATTCATCTTCTGGCATGCTTCTGATTCACAATATCTGAAGACAAAACTTTCTCACCCTGGTGGAAGGAAAGTTAATTTGGCCTCCTTGTTTGGTAGCTAAATATTTAGCATGCTTATGGATAATTATTGCATTATTTGGAAGCTGCAGAGTCTGGATTTGAAGGTAAGCAGTAAACAGAAACAACTCTCCCCCAAAAGTGTATGTAGAACTTACTTCCAGCTCCACTTTGACCACCACTCTGACTGGAAAAGGAAACGAGAGACATTTTAGACACAAACAGTCATCCTTTGCAAAAAGAAAACACCATAATCACCCATCATTTTTGCAGTTATTAGTTCTAAACTTTTTGGCTTTGGCACTCCTCTGCATTTCCAGATGACCACTATAAATTCTGCACTGGAATCTCAGGCACACGCTTGTGTGTTCTGTATGGACAACAACTCAATATGCTGGTTCTTTCTTTCTGTTTTCACCACACTCACACCGATTTCTTACAGTCAAATAGCAGCTGCATTCTCACTAATGCTAAAGAAAACGTATCATGTGATTCATAAGGGAACTTGCTCTTAGATGAGGAGAGATTAACTTTTAGTAGATTCAGGTAAAGAAGGAACAGATACTTTTTTTTTTTTTTCCTTGGAATTAATTCCTTAAAAATCAGAAAAGAGAATTTAAAAATATTGTTTACAGTAATTTAAGGGGTTATAAGAGAGAGAGTTATCAATATCATCTTTAGTTGGTATGAAAAAAAAGGACAGTATTTTATAAGTAAAGATGTGAAGCAAATTATCTGTTTGCATAAACCAATGCAGATATTTCAAGACAATGAAGGTGCACATTTTGACACAAACAGAAAATTCAATCCTAACTGTTAGTAATTGTTAACAACTGATAGCTATTTCCAGTAGTGTGATTTTCAAGAAAATGCAAACAGATATCTACAGCTGCAACAATTTACTGTATTAAGAATATATTTTATATTCTTGTTAGTATCTTTGAACTAAAGTAGAAAGTATGACTAAGGATCATAGGATAATTCATGTTGGAAGGGATCTCAGGAGGTCACGTAATCAAACTTGATGCCAACAGGAATATAATCTGACTGAACACTAGAGAGGGCATCCATACCATGTAGATTCATCCCTTATGAGGGGAGTTTCTTGAGGTGAAATGGTAAACAAATGAATTTATTGCTCAAATAGCTTTCATTGGGCAATGCTTTAAACCTCTGCATTGAAACTGCATGTTTCTAGCATTTCAAGGATTCTATATTAGCCTACGGTACTAACAGTAACTGAAAAAAAACACCTGATATGTTCACAGTAACAGTGATTATTTCCAGGTCAGAGCCTTATTTAAATGTATACATCAAAACAAGATATTTGTTAAAACCTTGCACCAAGAAATCGTGAAATACAACAGCCCTAGTCACTTACTAATTTTGGAATATTAATAATACTACCAATAATGAGATAAGATTATTTGGTCAAGAGGCTTTCTTTTTAGTATAGTGTTCTTACAGTGGTTTCAAAACATGTTGATGTATGTCAGACCTTCCAACAATTCATGCTCATGAACTGAACAAAATGCTATTAATCACTACAGAAGATAAAAATGTCAAAATACAGCTTAAAGGATTTAATGAATCCAAGCCATTCATTCATCATTCCAAGTTCCTTACACTGTTATTTTAATATGCAACAGTGTAAGTATTCTTGTTTGCTTTGAATTCAATACATTTTCTAAATTCCTTGCATTGAGGTGGCTAATTGTAACGCTAGCCATAGTGAAAAGGATTGGCCAAAGATACCTCTGCAATGAAGTACTTAATGCTGGGATTACCTAAAGCCTAGAACAACTAAAGCGACTCCTCTGGCTAGGCTATGATGCTGTGAGACTGTATGTGTAGGTCAGGTCGTACACCAACGTGTAGGGAGGAAAACTGACACTGAGCAACCTGGAAAACCATCAGACGCAAAACTATGTTGGTTTAAAGAATGCCAGCCTGAAGGCAGGTCTTTCCACATGCTGTTTTCAGAGCTCATGGGGATGTTCTAGCAGCTGACAATCATGGCTGCGGTGCCTTTATTCCAGCCAGGCCTCGAAGTTAAGGTGCTGGGAAGCAGTAAAAGCAGGTGTAATGGCTAAGAGTTTCCAGGTTGGTTGTCCTACACCTTGAAATCCTCTACGCCTGTATGCAGATCTCTGATGAGAGTTCTGGGGTATGTGTTTCTGCGCATCAGGACACGTAACGGAGAATGAGCACTAGTTTGTTCCATCACATGACAGAAATGGACTTTTATGTGAGGTGGGGTAACAGAGGTACCACCATCATATTGGGTCATATGATAGCCTTGAGTCTTGTCACAAGATCACTAGAATATTTCCCTGCCAGCAAGTTTTATACACTGCTGGAGATGGCGATTCTCTAGCTGCAGATCTATTTGATGTGAAAAATATGGCACATTGAAGTAGAGAGTCTGCAGTGCAGCACTGCATTGCCAATACACATGAGATGGTGCTGTAGAGGAGAAGCTTCTGATTAAGTCAAAAAAGTATAGTTCATACCCGGCTCATGGAGTGTTATAGGCCTTACTTTTCTGGACCAAACACATTAGCCACACTCTCTTCTAAAGGGCCATCCTAGTCACACCTCCAGAAGTCCCTTCTCTTCAAAAGGAAAGAGGCGGTAAGGTTCATAGTTTGAGATCAATGGGGTTGGTCGGGAGTTCTCCATTGCAGTGAGTGTTGCCATTGCTTTTAGAGCCGTTTAACCTTGCATGTTAGTGAGGGCAGAATGTGACTTCAAAAGACAGAGCAAGAAAAGAGAGGGAGGGAAGAGAATGGCACTTCCCGCAGGTGATTTGTAATCCTGCATATTTTGCCTTTTGTTCTCTTTTGTACTGCAAAGCTGTAGGTCCTCTTCCAATAGTATGGATTCCTCCTGAGTATGAGTGCTTATAGGTATTGGATTCCAGAATACATTGTTGTTTCTCTGACTATTTCAGTTTGAATAGTTCTGTTACATGTTTCTGCTATGAATGGCTGTTCTTTTGCTACAAGAGTTTGCTTTGTTGTTGCAATACATACCTGCTAATATATACAAAACATACCTGCTAATACTGTCCTGCTCTCCAACATCATCATACACTTCTTGATCACTCTCTGAATGTTTCACGGCAGCTCTGGTAGCTGGTTGTTGCTTTCTTCTTAAAGAATCATAATCAATCTCCACAATTGTTGTTTTAATGTATCCATCTAAATGAAGGAAACCGTGTAATTAGGCAGTGAAAATTTTATAGATCATTGTAAAGGGATGATTTTAACAGGACGTTCAGAATCAGCAATTGAATTGTTTTTATGGTCTTTGAAAACTTTCAGAGAAATGTCTCATTCCAAGCAGCCGTAGCTTGAGTCTCCATCTGTCTACACAACTACAAATCTCAGATTTGTCTCATATCTTGACCCAAACCCCCCTCTGCTACTGTCAAATTAACTTCACCTTTATTTTCTTCCCAACTACAGCAGGAGAATTTTCTGTGCAGAGTCCAGGACTCATGGGGCAAACTCCCTTTCTTAGCTAACCTGCAGTCTTGTGACATATTTTAGTGCAGTCACGGAATCGTCCAGGTTGGAAGGGACCTTTCAGATCATTCAGTCCAACCATTAACCTAACACTGCCAAAACCACCACTAAACCATGTCCCCAAGCACCACGTCTACTTGTCTTCTAAATACCTCCAGGGATGGCGATTCACTTCCCTGGACAGTCCCAGGATCCATGGATGAAGACTTCACCAACTCTTTGGGCAACCTGTTCCCTTGCTTGATCACCCTCAAAGTAAAAGAGTAGTTCCTGATGTTCAGACAGAATTTCATGTGTTTCAGCCTGTGCCCATTGCCTCTTGCACCACTGGAAAGAGCCTGGTTCCACCTTCTTTATACTGTCCCATCTGAGACTTCCTTTCACCAGGCTGAACAAATCCATCTCTCTCAGCCTCTCTTCGTATGAGACACACTCCAGTTCCTTAATGTCTTTTTACATCCAGTACTACCAAGTGCTCAGCTGGTTCTACACCTGTGAACTGTCTTACTGGACTTCTTGTCATTTTAGTCTCCTTAAAAATCAAGCAAGTGCTTTTAATAATTTTAATGTATTTTATGAACCGGTGTTTTGATGCCTTTGCTGTAACCCAGGACTGAGATTATCAACACCTTGTCATACTCATAGATCCACTGATGATATTTCTGTGATTCAAGAAACATCTTGGATTGCAGACAAAATTAATCTAGAAATCAGTTAGAAACTTTCCATAGGAATAGGAACAAGTGAAACACTTAAAACAGGACCTTATATTCTCTGTTTCTATTTTAGGAACACCCGTGTTCCTTTTAATACAAATGCATGAAAAAGTGTGATCCTTCTTACTGGCACAGAGCCAAGTTGTGATGATATTTGAAGGCTGACATGAAATTACCTCTCAACAGGTCTGTGAAGATCCCAACGTATCATTCCTAACTTATTCTAGCTCCTGTATATGTTACATTATTTTGTACAATAACTTCCTACACCGGACGGAGCCTTGCATGCCAGCTAAACACAGGAGGCTGAGTTGTGGTAATTATTTACTTTGGTGGCCAGTGACTCAGCCTTGGTAAGGCTACTCCTTGGTGTAATGCTCACATGTTTGCTGTCATACAGTGAAAACATTCAGGAGAACGGTGAAGGAACAGAACTCACAACATCCTTTTATCCTGCCCAGCCACTTTCCTTCTGGGTTGTCTGTGAGGCGAATAATTTCAATCTCATCCCCTTGTTTGACAGTCAGCTCATTCTTCCCTCCCTTGTGGTCAACACAAGCTCTTGCTTGATGAAGGACTTGGATGGGTCCCGTTAACTGTACAGGAGAAGCAACAAAAGAAGTCACGTGGAAAAATGAAATTCTTTCCCAAACATTCAGACAAAAGAGAATATAAAAATAATGATGATTACTTGTTTCATTGACATTTGAAACAGTCTAGGCAAACAAACAGAAAGGCATCAATCCTGCCCCCAACTACCCAGTTTAAATTAATAATCAGGAATGAAAAGAGAGGGCAACAGCATAGCAGTAAGGCAGCTGAAGAAGCGACTGGCAAAATCACAGTGATACCAATAGGCTAACCCATGGAGCCTTTTATAGGTTCACAAAACATACACATATTTAATCCCAGTGGGCAGCTCAATGTAGTTTCAGCAGAACTACTCATATGAGTAAATATTCATTAACATAAATAAGTCTACCACATAATGTTCTGTGTTTACAATTCTACTTTATAAACAATCCTACAAGTACGCAGAAGAGATGATCACAGGGTTTACTGGAATTCACCATTCTCTTTGTGAGATCTTTAACATGTGTTATGGCAAACCACTTTGGATTTTAGTATCTTTGGCTTTAAGATATATGTGATTTTTCAGAGGCATGTGACTGTTGACAATTATAGACTAGCTTGGGAATATCTATCCTGTATAGGAGTAAAAGAAATGGGATAGAAAATACGCACTAAAGTATATTTACTTGCATTTAAGAATAACAACATACTTTCACGGCCGCAAGAGAGCAATCTGCAGTCTAAAAGCATCCAGTGCACTAAAGACTGTACTTCACCGAAGTGGTCTGAAAAATCGACTTGGGGCCTGAAAAATGCCAGCTAACCCACTATTATTAACTATTACTATTTTCCTCTCCACAGCAGACCAAGGCCATGATGCGAGAGAATCACCATGGCTTTACTGTGTACAGAGCATAACAGGAAGAAAAACAAAGCTGCCCACAATGACCCTGAGAGCAGCACAGTGGAGCATTGTGAACAGGCATTAGTTAACACAAAATAGCTGGGAGATTTGTAAACTGCGGGAGCTTGCTCACCACTAGCTATATAAAAATGATATAAACCAGAAAGAACTCTCTCAACATTTAGCTTGTAGGCTTTGACAGTGACTGTAGCTCCCCTACATGTGCCCAGTTCCCTTCCTCCCCATTTAGGCTGGAAGTCCCTTTTAGGTCCATTTAGACCACAGCAAGGGCAATGTGCTGTAATATGATGTTGAAATCTCTCAAGGACTGGATATTCTGAAAGAAAAAATACAAAGTATATGGGACACAAATCCCACTTTTATAAAGGACTTTTGATACTATTCTAGTGACATAAATGCTTTTTAAAAAGAAAAGTGAAGGGAAATGTTTTTAAGGCTTCTTTTACGCAGAAAGAACGTGAGACGGGAATTTAATGAAAACTATATAAGCACTGAAAAAATGTCTTTGCCCGCAGTGCAAAACCCGAAGTCACGCACATGCCAAACATAAAAGGGTAGCTTAAACCTTTATTCAGAATTTATCCAGGTGCTTGAACTACCAAACACAACAAATAGTTTTGTAGCCAGCTGAAAATTGTATTCTGAACTTAACAATGCCAAATAATGTTTTTTACATGTATTTGGCCAGATTACAAAATGAAAAGCTTACTTTGAACTTCTTCCTTATTTCGTGCTCTTTCTTTTCTTTTTCCTTTTGTTCTTTCTTCTCTTGGTCCATTCTTCTCTTTTCTTCCTTGTCCCTCTTCTTCTCTTTTTCCCTTGAAGATCTGAAAGTGCATGGCCAGGATTGAATGTAACAGGGAAGAAAATCTCATTAGAGCATTCTTACCCAAGGTTAGCAAAGAACCACATGAGATGGAAAAGGACTTCTCCCAGTGAAATGAAAGCTACAGATTCTAAACCCTAGTGTGGCAGCAACAGATGCAGTAAGCAGCCCTTTCTCTTACATTACATGTATAATTTAAAGTTGCTGTCCTCAAGAACATGATACACCAGAAAAAGTTATTTGGAGGTAACAGACTGGCTCTACACGTGCATGCCCAAACACCTCTGAGCTAATTTTGGCAGGCAAGCTTGGAAACTGGTAGCAGTCTAGGTGTTGTGGCACTGCCTGCAGCTGTTAAATGTTTACCCAGGCCATCAGTGGTCCATGCAGCCTGAACTGAAGCCTGAGCTACCACTGGACTGAGGTTTTAAAGGCAGCCACAGCCTATTCCAGCAGCCTACACAAGCGACAGTCTTCTGCACTGCATCATAAACGTGTCTATCACAGCAGGGAACATTGCCTGCTGTGCCTCATGTACCGGGGAGTTCTGAGATCTGGGCCCTGGGGTGTAATTAGGTTACAGCTACAGATCTGCCATTTGCTGCCAACAGCTCGGCTCAAAGAGCTGTGCTCTACAGACCCTGTGGAACTGATCGAGTGAGGCTCCCTCCGCTTCCTTTTTTGGTACTTTTGCTGAACCGATATGCTCAAATTATATTAAAAAAAGACTCAATGAGGATCACTTGTTTTAGTGACTTGTTTAGTCACTAAACTTGTTTAATTTTAAAAATATGTGTTTTCAAAGGGAATTCAACAATGTTTTTTTTTTTCTGAAAGTCATTCTACATCTGAAACAAGGTATTTTTGTATAGGAACATTAGACTGTTACTTATTCCAAGGGATTTAGAGCTTTTCTTTGGCTGTGGTCATACAGTAATTCCATACATTTAGACATTGACAGGGCAAGGGGATCCTCAAAGCAAAGGACTACATGGCAGAAGAATGACCAGTGCTCATATTCTGTCTCTGCAGCTACGCTAGGGAACTCAAGCCATGAGAATGACAAATCCAGCCTCTCAGAGGAGTTCTAAGTCCATTTATCTAGAAAGAAAGAAAAACAATCACAACAAAAGATCTGTCTGGGACCATAGTACCAAGGGGCTGAGTTTGTTTTTCCTCTGGGATGTAATTCTAAACAGTGATCCAGACATATTCCTTAGATCAGAAATCAGACTTCTGTTACCTAGATCACAGTAAACACATGGTTTTATTGCAGGAGTTTTTCCAGCCCAGGGCATAGCAGATCTAAATAGGACCAAACCTGTGAACAACCTGACTTTCTCTAGGTGAAATGAATGAACACAATAATACTTGTCAGGGACTACAGTGGAATCACACTCTTGTGCCAGATTAATTATCTTTGGTAGCAAGCTTCTAGTAATAAAGATACAATAGGTTATAGAGTTTAAAATTACTACCTGATGTCATTTATGTCTTCATACATCTCCCCATCACTTCCTTGGCCCTATAAGAAAAATTCCATTTTCAATGGCATGGATACATTTGCAAAGACATGAAGAAAATGGACCTGCTATGTAAGCTTCATAAAACCTATATAAAAACATTTACAGCAAAATGTAAATGCAAATTATTTAATCTTTCCAAACCAAGTTACTACATTATTCAATCTCACTATTCTTTTTTTCTGATTTTGTTTGTACAATACTACAGCTCTAAAGTCCTAGATAGTTACAATCACACTAGCACATCTCTTAATCCAAAGTGGATGTTTTAAAGGCAATGTTTGTACTGGAAAGTCTTTATCTGTGTTGATGATTGCACTGCTGTGATGAAGATGCAAGGGTTAGCAGTAGTTAAACTGGAATGCTGGGGAATCTAAACAGGATACCAGAGACTGTTTTTGTCCTGATATAGCTAGGTACTTAGAGACATGATACAAACCTGTGCTTAACTGAAACAGGTGGTTTATTACTAGAATAAAACAGGGCCCTTGTTTCCGGAAAATTTCAGTGAAATGAAATGTCAGTGGAAATAGAAGGGTGGTTTTTCTTTTTTTTTTTAAATTATGTTTTGGTGTCTAGCCAGCTTTGATAATTAGTTCCAGTTTGCTCTGCTTACCCGGTTTTATTTCTGTCTTTCACGATAAGTAAGTGCTTCTACAATTTACTGTAAATATATGCTGGATTCATTCTGCCATTAGTTTTCTAATATGCTGAAGGTATTTTACTAAATTTTTAAGTTTGTGCTAAAAAAGTATAGGTTTATTGTGAAGCATAGCACTTACCCCCTCTGTATTTCCATGACCTATATCACAAGAAATAAAAACAGGGTATTTATTTTTTGCTGTACAGAAAACAATTCAAGCATTAACTATTTACAAATTGCTAGTAATACCAGTGAAATTAACTAGAAATATGTACAGGCTTCTGGCTTTTAATGAGGGTATGAATGCAAAAATCAGAGTTTTTCCAGGATGCTTTTGTAGTATGCTGTACACCAGAAATATCTAGAAAATAGCATATTTCACCATGCTTCACCACTATTTTTAGAAGTGGAAAAATGTTTTAAGGATTCTTTTGTGACATTGATGAACTTACCTATGCTATTTGTTTACAAAATGGCTATTTATACAAGAGAGTAATTGTTAAAACCTTAATTAAACTGAATAGACCTCAAATGACTTGCTCACACTGGCCCAAGAGCTGAATAAAGGGGCCAAAGGCTCTTTTGCTAAGCCAGCCTCTACCCTGGGATAGGCTGGGTGGGCTCTGTCAATCTCTGTGCTCTGCAGGTAGTTAGGTCAGAAAAGGGCTTGGGCTTGGGCTCAGTTTCGGCTCCGCAGCCCACATCATGTCTGTAGGGCAGGGACGGCTGGCGCACTAAAGGAAGCACACTGTGCCTGGCACAGACCAACTCCTCTCGAGGAGAGATCAGAAGGCAGATTGAAATTCTTTGTGTCACAATCTGCTTCTCTGGCTGCTCCTGGTACAGTACAGGGACTCGCTGCCTCTCATTGAAGGCAGACCACAAAGCGGCATTAAAAGCACAGTCAACAATTATTTTTATAATCAAGTATAAAACAATGCCTGCTTCACCACAGCACACGACTTCAACTCTGGCAGAGCAGCATTCATCTTGCTTCAGATTTGAAAATCTGGTAATTTATGGTCCCAGCCTTTTTTTCCCCAAAATAGTGGGTAAGAGAGGAGATATTTAAAAAAGTTCCTGAGAGTCTGTTTTATGTCTAATTGTAGAACAGTTGGTGTTATAAGACAGCTATTTTTACTGATAAAACTATAGAACCAGCTTAATTAGCTACACAAGTCACTCATGAATGCAAGAATAATAATGATAATAATAAATACAGTCTGCTTACAGCTTCATATAGCTGCTATTAATTAAAACGTGTGCACCTTACCCTGTGAAACAAATTCAACATCATCATAATTTTCTTCATTTTCTGGAGTTCTGTAAATATGAAAAAGAGGACATATGAAACCTATGAAGATGTTTTTATGATTGCATTTTCATGCACTGTTGTCCTGGTGCTTTTCCCAGCTGTTTTATAGAGTGGCTGGACAGTCTGTTGAGAGCTATATGCTGCTTAAGTACCCATGAGATTCACTAACTTGTTCTTCTGGACTGTGACTCTGTTTTCCACATGGGGACACCTTGAACCTGAGTATAAAAGGAGAAAATGAGCCAAAGGCACTCAGATGCCATGGAGATGAGTGTGGTATGAAAAATATAATAGGCAGATGGGCTGACTGAGTGGAAAGAATCTGTTGGGATTTTTAACCATCTTCACAGGTGCAGACAATGCACACAACGCACAAGCAGAACACCAGACTTTTGCCCAAAGTTAAGTATAGCTCTAAGACTTGCTCCTTGGCTTGTAGAGCTCAAAGTCTGAAGAAGGGAGAAAAGAAACGGTGGTATAAGGTTAGGCCAGGTCACAAGTCTCTGATGTTGTTGGATTTAAAAGTGCTATCAAACTGAGGGAAGCAAGAAATTGAGAATGTAACTAATAATAATATCAGGGTATCTTAACTTTATTAATAGCTTATAATAGTTGAAAGAAAACTAGAGCTGACAGTCGTCATCAAAGAGGTGTGATCAAAGAAAGGACTTGAAAGCAGAAAGTGATCTTTCAAAAGATCTTTCAGTGGTTCCCAGTGAGAGGACGAGGGGCAACGGGCACAAGTTGGAACATAAGAAGTTCCACTCAAATATGAGGAGAAACTTCTTCACAGTGAGGGTGACAGAGCCCTGGGACAGGCTGCCCAGGGAGGTTGTGGAGTCCCCTTCTCTGGAGATTTTCAAGACCTGCCTGGATGCAGTCCTGAGTAACATGCTCTGACAAGCTCTAGGCAATCCTGCTTCAGCAGGGGAGTTGGACTAGATGATCTCTGTGGTCCCTTCCAACTCTAAAATTCAGTGAAATTCAGTGAAATTCAGTGAAAATGGGCTTGATGGGGAAAGCAGGGAGACAGGGTGGAAGGCAGCGTGTGGCAGCACCCGGGCACACGCTTCCAGCCGAGGGGCGGGCAGGAAGGGGTCGGCAGCAGCACAGCCCGGGGGTGCATCTGGCAGGTCCCCGAAGGCAAAGAGGACACGCTCCGGCTGCCGGGTGCGTGGAGCGGAGGGTGCCCGGGCGGGCTGGCGGCGGCCACTAGATGGAGCGGCGGCGGCAGCGCCCCCGGGGACACCGACACCGCCCCGGGCACGGCGGCGGCAGCGGCAGGGCGGGAGTGATGGCGTCACACCGCCCCGCACCGAAATACGGTGTGTGTGTGCTGCCACACACCTCATTCTCCCTGCCTGCCGCTTGCTGCTGCTTGCGGTAACTGCCGGCCAGGGACCAGCTCGTTATTCAGGCTCAGCTTGTTTCCGGCCAGTTTTGACATTAGGGGGAAGTGCTGTTAACTCTTCGTCGCTGGGAACTCTTCGTCGTCCCCTTTGGTAGGCAGCTGGTGGAACAAAGATAAGGAAAGGAGCCCCAGCAGCTTCTCCCTGCTATGGCAGCGGGCCACGGCGTGGCTCCTGGTGCGGTTTCACCAGCAGCGCTGAGCCCGCTGCCTCCGGCTTGCGAAGCTGCTTCCTGGGGTGCACGCTGATAGCCATGATCCTGCTGGGCCTCTTCCCCCAGAAAAATGCAGGGGAAAGCTTCAGTTATTGGTACAGCTGGTTTTCTGCCCCTGGATGAAGTCTTTGAACCCTTCTGGATCAAAAAACCCCGTGGGATGCCTGTTGCCTCCTCCCTCCCCTTATCAATAGGGCAGAAAAAAAGTGTTGCTATAGATAAGACAATTTAGGGAAACAACTGAACAGATGGAGGGTTCGAGCTATTAAAAACTAATTCCAAACAGGCCAGGGACCAGGCAGGACAAGGAAAGTGGTGTGGGACCTCACTCCCCCAGGAACCTGTGACACCTCCAGCCTTAATTTGCTGCTGCATGAGAAAAGTAATAGGCAGAAAAAGATGAGAAAATAAAGACCTTGAGGTTTATGTTCACTTACATTGTTTCAGGGCTGGGCTTGGTGTTTCTGGGAGGCAAACTGGGAGCTGCTGGGGACTGCAGGGATGGGTGAGAGGCTGGTGGAGGCGGTGGGAACTGCGTAGCAGAATGTGGTGGAGGTACAGGTGGAGGGAGTGCTGCTGAGGAAGGTGCTATCTGTTTCAAACCTTCATTTTTAGGGCCTGAAAAAAAAGCAGAACAGACTGAATTTATCAAGCAAACAGCTGATGAGAGAACCTCGCTGTTTACATGAAGGATTAGGCTAAAATATCAGTACTGCACACACCCCAGAGTAAATATATTGTATTGAACTTGCTTCTTAGATATATTTAGTGCCTTATCTTACCAGAGTAGAGAGGCTCTGCCTAGAATTATGTACTGCCTACAGAAGGCCTTGACAATGTCTTTGCCAAGACATGAACAAGACACAAAAACATCAGTTCACCCGGTACATAAGCTCTTATGCTTTAAATTATCATTTAATTCTAAAATTTGCTTGAAAAGACCAGCTGCAGAGTTTCACGTGAGCACTGGATTTCAAGGGAAGGGATGATTGGCATCAATGAAGGGGTGTACAGGTCTCTGTACATCTTAAAATATGTTTGTAGCATGAGCTGTAAATGGCTGGACTTAATTTTCTGAGAAGGCCATACTAGAAAAGTGGCCGTTTGAGAAGCTGCACAGAAGTTGCACCCTCAACAAACAGGTACAGCTTTAAAAACAAGACACAGAAGCCATTATTACATGAGGGGGCTGGTGTGCATGTGTGCTGCAATGAATTCACGCTGCGTGTACAAGCCACAGCCATTGCTTTATATATACACTATATATAGTAACCATTGCTTTGAGAGTTCACATTGAGAGAAGTTATTCAACACAACCAAATGAAATGACTATTTGGATGCTATGATGCTAAACCTAGAATTTTGTTTTGAATAACATGAGTGGATTAAAAGCTACTCAGTAAGAGTTGTCCCCAGCTGTACGGAAGGAAGTCCAGCAAAATCTGAGGAAGAAGAGAACAGAAGGAAAAAGCAAATTCACAGTTTGGTTAAAACCAATTTCAATCAAAAAGTACCCCTTCGTCTTCTGGAGATTTTCTTCAAGTGCACACCTGTACTGTGGAAATTAAAATATTGTCAATGAAAAGAAACTTTCACCACATTGGAAAAAAGTGGCTTAAACACAGCACAGCGACAAATATTTAGTAATGCTTAATATCAAGATTGAAAGTTACAAAAATACTGAAAAAGCTTTCTTTACCTGCTTGGGAGTCTGAAATTCTGTCCCTGGGATAGAAATGGACAACAGGAATTGATAACTATTAGGAGGACCTCTTGCGTCTCACAGAAATCAAAGCGAAATTACCGAGCTTTGACAGTTTTTCTGCTTACTAGCAAAGAACTCAAAAATGTCTGGATAAATTAGGCTTCATGGCTTCTTGGAAAAACTTGCCAACATACATGTCAACAACACTGCTTTTGAAACATATTAAGTTTCTTCATTACTTAAACAGCAAAACACAAAAAGTTCCAACAATGCTGATTACACAGGTGAATTCTTTGGTGTTTTTGTTCAGGAACATTCAACTTGAAAAGCATACCCCTATGATTTAAGATATGCCAGGATTAAAGTTGTATGGTATGACATATCTTTTTATTCACATATCTTTATGGCATTTTATTCAAAATTATAGGCTAAAAGTCAAGTGAAATAATCCTTTCATTTAGTACTGAGAAGGCTACAGCAGGGTTAATGTGTGCCAGATGGATAAAAGTGAGAGTAATTAGAGGTCTAGAAAACATGAATTCCTGGCTATACTGAACAAATGGTGATTGTTTTGGGAAATATGATAAGACTAAGTGAGAAAAAAATTAATACCTACATCTCTGGCAAAGAAGAAAGGGATAATTTTTTTTTATTTTTTTTTATTTTTCATTTCCATGAAGGCAAAAAGTAATGTGTCTAAAGGCCAGCAAAATTTGTTAGGACATGCTTTCTAATACTGAAGGTAGAATTTCCATGGCTTAAGATCGATGTTGAAAAAGTAGGGTAAATTTATAGCATGATTAAGTTCTAGTACAGTTGTCTTTATCCAACACAGAGGGATGGACAAAACAACTTCTTTATGTCCCTTCCAATTCAGTGGTGACATCCTCTGTTGTCCTATATTTTATAAGACATCACCTTTAAAATACTTGCCTGAATATTGAGTCCAACAGCTAGAGACCTACTAAAATATCATTTTGGGTAAAACATGTCTTCCAGAGAGATGTCCTACTTGTTTGAAGATGCGAGAAAGAATGTACTACTACCTTAACTTGATTGGTTGAGTTTGTTCACTATTGAAATCTGCATCTTGTTGTTTACTAAGTTCATCTGGCTTCAGGTTCCATTACTTTTATTTCTACCTTTGCGCAATAGATAAAAAGCCTTTTTATAACCACTATTTTCTACCCATATTAATATCGATACCACCCAACTTAACCAATATCTCACATTTCTTTTTGATAACTTTAAAGAACCAACCTTTTTAATCTCATCTCAAGGCATTTGTTTTTTCAATCTAGCAATTAATATGTAGCTATTTCTGTAACTGTAACTTTTCCAACATTGTAAAAAATCTGGCACTGTAATTCTACACAGCATGCACCTGTCTGCAACCTGCAGTGATGAAAAATACAAGTCATTCTTCATCCTTTCTCCTGTTTTGGAAGTACAGATGCCTGAATATCAAACAAAGGCCCATTAGCAAAAGGCTTTTATTCAAAAACTTCGTAACTATATGAAGATTCCTTAAGGGTAAAACTGCAAGAATTTAGGGTTACAGAATGACAATCATTGTGCATTTGACTTTTCTGACACATCATTGTCCTTACTCAACTGCAGAGTTGTTTATGATGTATAGATTTTTTCCCAAGGCATTATATTACCTCGTTTCACAGGTGTGATTTAAAAGTCCTTCCTTCTACAGGTATATTTGCATTTGAGTACAGACAAACTTTTTTAAAATGAGCCAAGATAAAATGACTGTGCTTATGTTGTATCTGAGTCTCTGAGGACTGTGTGTTCACATTTGACTCTTCACAGTCTTTATTCATCCACAGACTTTGTCAGCTATAGTCTCTTACTGCTCTAAAATCCCTGATAAAGATGAATAACACTGACAATCTAAGCATATAACTGCAGTTGAATTCTTTTAAGCAGATTCTAACCAAATAAAGAAACCGAAAAGGTTTTTATTATAAAAGGTATGTTAATTGGTATTAATTATACTCTCAAATTAGTGTGTTTTAACGGGGAATCCTATATCAGTTTTTTCAGTGTTTATATATATGTTGCCCTAGTACGGTGTTGTGTATATACACAACATACACGCATTATGTCATCATACAGTGTTACTGCATTGTGATTAGTTTGTTAAGACTAAGGTAAAAATTCTGCCCAAGTGTCTGTGCATAATACTTCTTTCATCTGATGTCTCTTGAAAGCCAAATCCAGGCAATAGGAAACTGAGCCAGGAAAGGACACCACACACATTTTAGATTCAGTGCTTATTTTTAAATATAAGGGCTGAACAACCTGTCCCTTTTAATTTATGTACATTGCTGGTATCTAACAGTAACCAGCAATGGTTATCATTGTCATTACCTTTAATTTATGTACATTGCTGGTATCTAACAGTAACTAAATGGTCATCATGGTAATGAAAACACCGCTTTTTTATTTTCTAACTATTAGAACTGACTCTTCCACACCTTTAGAGTTGTAGTTACCTACATTTACATTGACTGAAACTGATGTGGGTGTAAACTGCCTTAATTCTAATACTGAAAATAATGGGATGAGTTAGGTAGGAAGGTGACATTCAGTATGAAAAAGCTGTTATAATCAGGCCCACGGAGCCAAAACTGTCATAATGTTTCAGTAGTGTTTTGTTTCCTGTTTTAATGGAGCATTTAATTTTGACTCCAGTTCCATCTTTTTATGTCTCTGAGACACTTGGTGCTCTGAGAACATGGAAGAGCTCTGTGCAGGTAGTGGAACTGAAGTCACCTCTGGATACTCAGAACAAGAAGTGAAATTGAAACCACATCCTGGGTTAATATGCACCCATCACAGGAAATGGTGTTAAGGACCATCACTGTTTGGTAGATTTGACCACTAACACCTCGGTTTCCAAATAGCCTCTCTTCTTGTGACTCTCTGCTTTTTCCCATGCTGTGCCACACTGAGGAAATAGATGTAGAAACTGAAGCTTTTCACAAAGAAAAGAAAGAACAGATGAAATGGAAAGAGTTCCTCAAAACCTGTGCAGCTGTATAACAGTTAAGAGAAACCTGCCATAGAAACTGTCCACAGAAAGTGCCAAATACCCCAAGCTGCTGCTTGTTGTATTCAATTTTAATTGTGCCCAGATCTTCAGCGCATGCAGCTGAACTGCACACAGAACACTGGAAATACTTCTCCTGTGTTCTTGGTGAACTTTCTCAAACAACTTCCATACATGCAGTGACCAAAAGGTCACCTACATTCTTGGAGAATGTTTATGTATCAGGAAGTTCAGGACACTGAAGTTGCCTTGATATAAAACTTGCAATTTTGACTCTTGCCATTCCTGGCTTGTGAAAGAGAATTGATACCTCTTTGGTAGCTAACATAATATCTAGAGAAAGAACTAGCTATTTGGAATCCATGCACTCCATGTAGTCAAAAGCAAGTTTCAGGGCAGGATGAGACAAAGATATACATATTCTCACCTTGCTGAAATCTTCAGTGCTGTCCTGAGACGCTGTATTACTCTGTCCTGAGATGCTAATACCAGAAATATGAAAGGAAATCCCAGCAGTGCCTACAGACCTTATTGGAGGAAAGTATGCAACAAGCACTATGCAGTAGGACAGGGATCTGATGGGAACCTGTAGTTTGGCCAAGGTCAGTTCTCCCTGGTCCTTTTCAAAACTGTAAGGTAAGGTTGACTTGTACAAGGGTGATATGGGCTTCAATATTGTTAAAGCTGAAATTACATGCCTCTCTTTATCCCCTCCCAAAATACCAGGGTATTTCACTGTTTGGAGAAGAAACTGGCACATAGATGAGGAACAGTAGTTATCAACCTGAGCAGAACAGAGGCAGTCAAAATTAGAAAAAAACCCCCATATTAGCCTGCAGTTCAACATCC